GGTTTCTTCAGATCAAAACTCCAAGGTTTGCTCTACCTAGAGACTATCTGGGTTTCTTCAGATCAAAACCACGAGGTTTGCTTCACCAAGAAGTGTTTGCTTCACCAAGAAGTGAGTTTGGCCTGCACACATCAAAATTGTAATATTTGCCAAGGCACTGTGTCAGCACATGGACACCCTGACTGCTCAGGGATCCATGGAGTGGGGACATACCTGGATTCCTTGCTGGGATCCACCTGAACCACAGTATTTGCCCAGATGGGGTAGTTGTACAGCAGAAAAGTTGCCCAGCCCTTGCTGGTCCCTAATGATGCAGTGTGGAACACAGGGAATAATTTCTGAGACACTTTCATAAAAAAAAATGGGGGGAATGCACCACAAAGCTGCTGCTGGGTTGTACTGGGGGACTCTCAGGGGCTAAAATCCCTTCCCATCAGGTACAGACTGAGCCCTAAATGAAGCAGTGCCTGGGAGCAGCTGCCTTGTGAAATCAGCTGCAGCACTGGTTGTAGAGAACGCTGCATCCTGATGTACTCCTCATCTTGTGGTGTTTTGCAAACAGCCAGGAAAAATGACTTCAGGAGTGAGTTGTCAAAGTGAGAGCAAGCAGGAACTTGGCCAAGTACCAGTGCAGAGTTTAATGGCAGCCACCCAGTCAGTCCAAGCAGACCACCTGCACAAATTTACACTGGGTGTCTAAACACCAAATGTTTTCTTAGCATTACAGATAGGTTGGTTTTTGTTTTTTGGTTTTTAAACAGGGTTGTAGAGAGCTTTGCACTGCTGGATGTTTGGAGTGAGCTCAGTGGGTTCCTCAGTGTGGACACAGCTCCAAGTGTCAGTGGGCCTGTGTGTGTCCATGTGTGCCCCTTTGCTGTGGTCTGTGGTTTTTTAAGAGGAGAAAAGGACTCTCTGTGTCTCTTTGTCAGCTGATAGCAGCATTATCAATTATCCCCCACCACTTGTGTGGGGATGGAAAGAGCTCTCATCAACTTCCATTGCCTGGCATTGCAAGCACCGCGTGGTGGGAGCCATTCATGCCTCGTGCACACTCCACTCTGTCCCAGTTTTACTTTTCTGACCATTATTTCTCTCACATTTTGCTTTTTTCCCCGGTCCCAGTGCAGCACTCAGCCCTCTAATCTCTTCCCCAGTGCTGCTGGTCTGAGGTGCACACACTTGGTTGGCAGCATTTCCAGAATCAAACTACAGTTGTTTTTGTAAAAATTACAGTATCCCTGGCCTTGCCAGCAGTAATGAGTGAAACAGAGCTACTCACACCCCAGTGAATCAAACTGACACTAAGATAATTATATTTCTGTTATACTTTCAGTGCCTCTCCGTGTCACTGTTGTGGACTAAAATGAAATAAAAAATCATAGGGCAGTTCAAAGCAATTAAAGTGTGAGGGCCCTGGCTCAGCTTTCAAAACAGACCTAAATGTTTATCTTCCCTGCAGCGTAAATCAGCTCTGCCTCACAGGGCTGGATGAGGAATGGCTCTTAACAGGGACTCTTGCAGTCCTGGTGTGTTTATTTAATGTGGCAAAAGAAATCTATAACTCCTTGTATTTTTGTGTATAAGAACCTCATAATTCAGATGGTTTGGCTGTCTCAGCTTAGCAATTCATAAACATCAACAGAGATTTCTCTTCACTGCACTGCAGCACTATAAAGAATGCTCTGCCTGGAGAGGGCAAGTCAGCAGAATTAGAAACTTGCCCTGTTCTGCAGGATATCTGCATCTGTGTACAATTCAACAGGGTGCTGGCCTGCACCTTTTCCCAAGGGCTAATCATGGGAAGAGGAGGAGCTCTTTGCACTTTCTGACCAGCTGTGGGCACATGAAGTTTGCTTTCTCTTGCCTTTTCATATTCAAGCTATTCTATGAATGATTTATTATTACATGTCCTTTCCAGCAGCACAGGGGAGAAGGTGAGCTTTCCATTGTAAGGAAAGAGATGTATAAAATCTTTTCAAACCGCCCAGCAGGTCAGATTTCTCCCCAAGCACTAATCAGCCTCAGCCCTGCAGGAACATCCACATCCCGAGTTTCAGCCCACGCAGTTAAAGGCTGCTGCTTGCTTTCAATAAATAAAATATTTTTAGATTTCAAGTCTATTTGCATGAGGGAATGTACAGTTTGATGAGCTCAGTTTTGTTTTTTGGCTTTCAGGGCATGAGGGCCTTGAGAGCATGCTGGTTGTAGGTGAAAAAATACTTAAAAGAAGAGGCTTAAAGCAGGAGTGTGTGCCCAGAGGTGTTTCTGTATGGAGAAGGTCATAGGAAAGGTTCTGGGAAATGGGAAAGTGTGGGTGCAGGGCTTGGTAATGTGGGCAGAGTGAGGGAATGGCTGGTTTACACGGTGGTTGACAAGAGCAGGTTGAATATGCCCTGGAATTCTGAGCATTGCAGAGAGGGAGGATAAACCACAGGCTGGCAAGGGTGATGTCTGCAGTCACTGTGGGTGAGCATCTCCAGGTTCCTTCTGGAAATGTTACCCAGGCACTGAGTTCCCGCCTTCCCTGGATCACAGGGCAATTGAAGATCAACTTTATACATAGTTTCTTGTAAAGCTGTGGGGTAAATTTAGTTCATTTTAGACAAGAGGACCAAATAACAGTTCAATGAATGCTGGAAATTTCTGACAGCTTTTTAATAAATTCAGAAGTGGATATGATTCTCTGTCATACACAAACTGTTGAATCAATCAATTCCAGTGGATTTATTCACTATTTCTTCTCTTTGGAGCTAGATATTTACCAGGCTCTTGAAGACTGATACAGACATGGATGTAATTACTGAAAAATTAACAATTTTTTTAAATTTAATATTTTGTGGAAGTTCACTATGTCAGTGTCAGCTGGCATGTAACTACCCAGTGCTTCACTCACATTTTTGGTAGGATGGAGCTGGCTTGGATTACAGAAGGGGGCAGTGATGTTTCATTTTTTGGAACCAGAATCCCCAGCTAACAAAAGCTTCATCTCTATATAACACAAGAATAGAAAAGCTCAAGGTTTGCTCCTGCTGTTTTGCTTCCTCACCTTACAATCATTCTTCCTACTTGTTATTACTTGATTTTCTTCAAGGAAAGAAGTTCCATCTCAGAGGGGGTGTGAAGGCAGTGGATGGCACAGAGTGTTCCTGCCACCTGCCTGAGACCTCTCAGGCTCAAAGGGCAAATTCTTGGTAATATTTCAAACTGCATAAAAATGTCCATGACCTGTTACCTGCTTGTTTCACCCCACGGTTTGTTTGGCCTCAGCCTTCTGACATTGCAGCTCATCAATGGTGCTTTGTGACCTCATTCATAATGTTCTGCTTCCTGCTGGGGAGAGAGAATAAAATGAGGGATCATTATAAAAATGAGCATATGCACAGAGCAGACAGGCTGCTATTCTAGGCACATCCTGCACCCTGGAGCTGTCAGACAGCAGCTTGGAGGGGCTGGGTGGTTTTAGCTCACACGTGCCAGTGAGTGACAGGAGAGTTCCATGATGGAATCACCGTGCTGTGCTCACCTGGCTCCTGCTGCCCACAGCACAGGGCATGGCAGTGCCACACAGGGCTGTCCCCACAGGAAAGGGCTCTGTTTGCTCTGCCTGACCTGAACTAACAGCAAACAGGGCTTGGGTGAGGGGGGATCATCCCAAAAGCCGTCCCAGCATCTCATAGCTCCTCTCTCTGGCTTTTCCCGCAGCACTGAGCTGCATCCAGAGCTGCTCCTGCCTCAGCAGCCCAAGCACATTCTCCTTTCTGCATCACCTCCCAGCTCCCTTTTCCCTGACCCACAGGAGCCTTTCTCACTCACGCTGCTTCAAGAGGTGCTCCAGCTCCTCCCTGCATTTCTTCCCACAAGGAGACCCAAGAGGAGCACATTCTGTGGGAGCTGGGCAACTCCCTTTGATCATTATTTCATGGCAGGGCTGTCTCCTGCTCTCTCATTGCTGGTGGTGTGTTCTTCATCCCTCACCTCCAGGTTTTCTCAGTGCTCTTCCATGTGTAAGGAACTATTGGAAGCCCCCAGTCTACAATGAACACATCAGAATTCTGTTTCTTTGACTCCCAGTGAAAGATTAGTGACAAACAAACTCTTTGAGGTACAAATACTCACTTTCTCCTGGTGGTGATACATGTCCACCTCTATCTGTGTTTTTGTTTTATCCTGTCAGTTGTTCTTTGTACATAGTCCAAGGGGTACATGGTCCCTTGGGAACGTTCTGAAATATTTCTATTATTGGTAAAATTCAGTGAAATAGCCCCTAGAAACTGAGCCTTCATGCTTGATACCTTCCTGAATAGCTCAGCCTTTTTGGGCAGACTTCTATCCTGTCATATTCAGTCTCTGTCCTGCCCTTGGAGAAGTAGAAATATCCATTAAAAGCCTCATGATTAATTAACCAAGTCAATTTTCAGAGAGCGAAAGCAAAATAGTTTCTGTGGAAAGTTTCTTTCTAAACAATTATTCCAGATTTGATTAGATTGTGTACATCCAGTCTTGAACATAGTTCTGAGGTGAAAATGTTTATCAATAACAATTACTGTGCACAGAGTCCGTTTCCAAAAGAATTTTCCAGACAAAAGATAATTTTAGAGCATTTCCCATGTAATTGAAGGACATATAATCTTCAATTTGTTACTAGAACACACTGGCAGGAAAATCAATCTCAGCTTTAATTTTTTTTAGCTTCAATGCCCAAATCACTGATATTTTAATCAAACCACTCCTCCCAAACGGCCTGTCATAGGATCAGGGCTTCTACTGCAAGTACAATTGCTCACAAATCTTATTTTTGATCTTAATCTTTCTTTGGGGTTTGGGAATGTCTTTTTGGGAATAATTTGAGTGTGCTCTGACTTGTGATGAATAGACCCAGCAAAGTTTCCAGGCTTTCCCATTGAATTTGAGGATAAATGATTTGTTTTGGAACAAACAACCCTGTTGCTGACATAATAGCCACAGGTTTCTCTTTGCAAAAATTGTGACATTGTTCTCACAGGGTCCAGCTGAAGCCATTTAACTCTTTCCACTGGAGCCTGCTGAGTTTAACCTCTCCCACCTTTCAGCTCTGGGCCCAACAGTGAAGTTCCTGGAGGGAAGAAAACAGGCAAGAAGCAGCAAGAGGGGTGAGTCGGCAGCAGTTTCAATATTTATTTCAATATTTTCAGCAGTTTCAATATTTACTGTAAAACTACCAACGGCTACTCAAATATCCTTAAAATTAGAAGTGCTTCTCTGAATTCCACAAGTTTTTAGGAGTGGTATCAAAGCCTTTGAGATTAAAGTGGGTTTTATGGGTTTTTGTGGGTTTAAACTTAACAGTATTAAATCTGTAAACCCAAGCTGGGAAATAATAATAATAAATATTAATCTTACGAGTCATAATAATTGAGAAACAGCACTGGAAGCTGTTACAGAATTTCAGGTGCTATTGTTGGAAGTTGATGTTAATGAAGTTGATACCTGCTTTTGATGGATCAATCACTCCACTTAGTCAGGGACCAGCAGGGTAGCATTAAGTATTTGTGGCTGCTCTGCTTTTCCAAGGTCATTTTAATTAACCAAAATAACAGCAGGTGATAGAATATTTGATCTAAAATCTAGATAGCAGTGGGGATAAATGAGGAATAATTCTAAGTGCATGTGCCAGAGGTGTTGGTAATGGATAAGCAGCATCACAGTCTGTTTTATACTGAGTGGGAAGTAGAAGTGGGAAGCAGGCTGCCTTTAAAATAAATGAATCTATTTAGGCAATCAACCTCTGCTGCACAGTCAGTGGCCTGCAGGAGGCCAAATTGTAATGTGGCAATGGTAGCTCCTAAAATGTCTTTACAAATGACATGTTTTCTGTTTTCTGCTGGGTTCCCTCAGTCAAATTGATGCTCTCTGCTTGGGGAGAACAGGCACTACAGTGTCAGGGAAAAAATACTGCTGACTGAGGGCCAGTAAAGGCTTTTGAGGGAATGGCAACACATCCTTTCTGCCCCCAAAGGTGGTCTGCACTTTCAAATGTGCACTGATGCATTCCTACACTGAAAAAATAAAATTGTTGATGGCTGTACCTCTATGAAACACACAGGACTCACTGAGAGCCCTGGGGGCTTTCACTAATTGCACATACAAGGTTGAAATATCTTGATGTGAGAGCATTGAGGTTTTTTTAATGTGTCAAAAAGTGGCACATTTGATAATGATTTTTAGATGTTATTTTATGAAGAGAGTTAAACTCTCTGTAGCTCCAAATCAAGAATTATTTCAGAGTTATTTGTAGGCAGAGTAATAGGGATGTTATCTGAAAGTGCTGCAGTTGGAGCAAAGCATGTCAGGCACAAACTGAATACATCCAAGATATTTGCAATTCCACTAAATGTCTGTTCTAGCCCTGAATGCATCAGGATGGTGTTCAGTGGACCAGACACTGACTGGTTGAACAGAAGAAATGAGAATGACTGTTTCAGTCCATTTCCCAGAATATGTGTTTAACACTCCTGGTTGTGCATGCCCATCCTGAGGTTTCCTGTACCACAGCAGGCTTTTTGTTTGGTTCTCATGGAGCTTGTGCTACAATCTCTCACTCCCACTGCCAGACTATTCCTGGCTTCCTGGAAATGCTGGGTTCAAAGCCCACCTCTCCTGGTAAGACCCACACACCCCTTGCCTTATTTAGGGCTGAATGTGGCGCTAGGGGAGCAATTCCTCTTGCCTCCCTCTTCACATGTTTTCTGAACTACATCTGAGTGGAAGTGATACATTTATAAATAAAGGTCACATAACGCTGGGTGAGGCAGGAGGCTTCTGTCAGTTATTTTGGTTTGGATGCATCATTAATTAATAAGTTGAGCCTGCTCAAAAAAGTAACAGTAAATGTTTTCATCAGCTGTCAGTGTGACATGTTATTATATAACCTGACAATGTTAAAAAAAACTTGGAAATTATCTAAAGCATTTTGGTCCATCATAGTTTTAGCATTTATTTTTCTCTCAGACCTGAAGGGGTAAGTGAGCTGAGGGGCTCCACAGGCACATCCCTACTGGTCCAGCAGTACAGGGCTACAAGACAGGCAGCTCTTGGCTCATGCAAAGGTCAGCTGGATTTTGTCCATCCCCCTTCTAAAGGTCTCTCCCTTTGGGCTGGAGAGGCTGGAAGAGAGTCCTTTGAGGGTCACTTGGTGCTGAACTCTGTTGTCACCTACTACAGTCCCTGTGTTGTAGCTGAAAACCAGGAACAGGCAAAGCAGGTCCTTATCTGCAGAGTAAAAGGGACAGTTCTCCCCTTGGCACCCCCTTGGTGACAGCAGCAAGTGTGCCTTGTCAGTGGCTTTGCTACAGTCAGAAATCTGAATCAGTGATGCTGTTGTGGCCAAAAATTCCTGAAAGGCAGCTGGCTGCTCAGCAGTTGGGTTGTAGGTGTGGAAAAGTTACAGGTAGGATACAAACAGATAGTGCTGGCCTTTAACATGTGGAGATGTCTGAAGTTGATTTCTGTGAATGATTGATTGGATCTGTGGGGGACCATGCTCCTCTTTGTTCATCATTAACACACAGAAGGAACTGCTTTCTCAGTGGATCCAATACCAGACAAGTCCTGGGAGCTTGACCCCAGAGCTTACCATTGCAGAGGCTTCAAGGAGCAGGAGGATTTGGGGGTATTACCTTAAGAGCCCAAACTTGTTCCCAACCAGTTCCCTGAGTTTCCCTGGAGGGTTGTCAGAGGAAAGGGTCCAGCTGCTGCTGCCAAGGATGAAGTACTGGTGCCAAGCTCTGTGCCAGAGCAGAAGTGAGATACTGCTGCTTGGGCCTGCCATGTGCCTTGATGAAATTGTCGATCCATACCAGGAGCAGTAGTGCTGATTAAAATGCCAATACTTGCTCCAGCAAGTTGCCTTTTTCTCTTTCCTTTTAGTTTCCCCAGAAAATGGCCATTTCCATGCATTGAAACCTTGCCTTTAAACCATGGTTACATTTGCTCTTGCCCTGTTTTTGCACACTGTGGTTATAAACTAGCAGACAACTTAGAGTTGCTTTTCATGTAGGGATGATATTTGCCCCTGGTATGTTTGGAGCAGTTTCCAGCCTTGCCCTACAGGAGCTTGTGCTCATCCCTTATTCCTGTGCCATCAGTGCTAGGTAGGATCCTTTAAAAATCTGAGCTTCAGGAGTGAGTCAGGCTCTTCATGCTCTTCATCTGTTTTCTGCTGCTTTAGCCATAGCTCTCAAGCACATTGTTCAAGTGCAGTGCTGCCTTGTGGAGGCATTTGATTCCTTATTTTATTGTTTAGCACATTACTCTGTGCTTCAGAGGCTCACTTATGTCCATCTGTCAGACCCCATAAAAGCACAGGACATTAAGGTGTGAGGTTTGCACCTTGTGTTTCCCCAGTGCACACCCAGGAGTTTGATTTCTGGCTGAAATGTTGCATTTGCTTTGAACCTGCTTGGTAGATCTTTTTCCATTAGTATCACTGTAGCCAGCCATGGGTTTGCTGTACTGTGAACTGTGTGTGGAAGGCTGCAGAAAGGCACTGCCATTGCATTATTGTTCAAGGAAAAAGGAGATTTTCACATTAGGCTATTGTAGCCTCTCAGATTTTTTTGATGTCTCCTCCAGATTCAGAGGTTTGCCAGTATTTCAGCAGTTGATTTAGTTATAAAGTTGGATGAGGAGCTTGTCTTTTTTTCTTGCCTATAGTTGTGGTTTGTGATTTTTCTGGCCAGGGAGAGTTTTAAATCTGTTTTAAGTGGAACAGAAATTTTGCCTGAGATGTTCCACATCTTAATTCCAATACATGAGCTTGTGAAGGAGGTGTTACCCAGTTCATCTCTTTGCTCTCTTGCAGCAAAGGGAGAAATTAGACTTTTGCATCAATGTTCAAGTTAGGTAAGAGTTCAAATAAGTGTTAAGAGAAACATTATTCAGCTTCACATGCAATGCTGTATTTTATATGTTTGTGATTTATACCTGTGTGAGTGTTTAAATTGAGTCCATGAATAAATTGATGATGACTGTAAAATTCAGCAAGAATTATAGAATATGGCTGCAGACAAGGCAACAAACTTGGTTTAAATCTGTTAGAGAGAATAAGGTAAAAGTGCACCTGAGCAGACTGAAGTCACTGCAGGATTTTAGTCTTTAAAGCTGCTGAAGGATTCATTAGACCACTGCAGAAGGTAGGAAATGCCACTGAACAGAGCAACAGAGGAACAATCCAGGAATTTCAGACTGGAAAACTTAAAAAAAAAGTGAGGTTTTCAAATTGGTATAAATAAATATTTTTTCAAAGCAACAATTTGAGTTTCATTACCTCCATCAAGCTATATGCAAGTACATTCTTCACAGTTTGTTGGGTTTGGGGTTTTGTGGGTCTTTTTTTTTAGTAAGTAATAATATTAAATTTCAGAAAACTGAAGCTTCTGGCAAATGAGGAGAGGAGTTGCAGGAAATGAGAAAATATTCATGCATCAGTTCTATGACTCTTTTCGCTTGCTCTTTGAAAAAAGCTGTCAACTTTTCTGTGAGGGAAGGAGACTTACCTGAAATGGAGGTAATTGTGTCTTTGACCTATGGACTGGATTCCTTAATCTGGGCTTGTGAATTGCAAAAGTTGAATTCCTTTTGAAACCTAGTTAGCAAATATCTCTGGAGAGTAAAGCAGTGTGAAATGGAGCCCTGGTTTTATTACAGAGGCTGCTGCAAGGGTGACTTTGTTTCATGTAATTGCTTGGGGACCTCTGTCTGATCTCTTCACTTGAAGCTGATACTGCAGGCTTTAATTGTGTGAGTCTGCTCTTGAAGTGGAAATAGTTTACATTGGGAGATTCACTTCTACAGCTGAATATCTTGGCCTTTGTCTCAGATAAAAATTAATTTTGTACCTCTGCATCAGCACTGCTGACAATGGCACTTGCTGCTGCCCCTCCAGCCTGGAATTTTCAGCACCTCCAGGATCAACTCCCCTTTCCAGGTGGTTCAAATGCAGTGCTGAGATCTTTGTCCCTTTCTAAAATACTCCACATTAAGGGTGTGGATAGCCCAGATCTCAAATCCCAGGAAATAGCATTGGCAACTTTTAAAAGATAGCAGGATAAAGCACAACTTCACTTGTTTTCCTGCTTTCCAGTTTGGGTTG